ATCTTTACAGAAAATATATCCACGTATTTTCTCTCGGTTAGCCGCTGATATAGTAATGAGGTCTCGGATTTTTAAAATTGCAATTAGTTTACTAAGTATCCAACTTCCTTTTGTAGTTTCAAAAAATCAACAAAATGCTACGTGCATGAAACTAGAAGCACAAAAAGACAAAGGAGAGAGTAAAATGATTGAAAGATTAGCTCAAAAATTCACCTGATGCTTTCATTAAGAAACGTCTGGACGCTAACGTTCTACAGTATCGACTTTAGTACCATACTTTCGTTAAACCTTAAAATTCAACGTGCCTTAAGATAAGCTTGCTAACTTCTACTGAATTCACAAACACACGGTGTAACTTGCTGAAGTTGCTGTGATTGGCCGACGAAATGTCGTTTAAATAGTGGATGAACACCTCAAGATGGTGGAGAGACTGTCTGACTTTTCTTGTTCTATCACAGAGGGAGCCAAGAGTACAGGAGCCATATTACTGTAATTGTCATCTGCAACACTAGACAACCTCACCAAGCCTGACCAAGATACCTCTACCTGCTCCACTAAAGGTTCACACCACAAGCAAAAGAGAAAATAAACGTTCATGAGAAAATGGAGATGTTACAGAGGAAGTTAACTCCTTCTATACTTGTAGACGCCATCCGATGTCAAATGTCGTAGAAATCAAACAAGAATTTCAACAATACCCACCATGTTAAGTATCTTTTTCCATCCAAAACTTCGTCATCCCTGAGGCACCACCGCGATAACCCTGAATATAAAATTAGTAATGTTTTCGTAAAGAAAAAAGCAACTTTCAGGTTTCCAGAGGATGAGAAAATAAATGTACAACACGAGCCTGTTTCGCTGATAAAGGGACGCCTACAAGTTTTCATCTCAATGTAGGGTGAGTTTTACAGAGTATGAAGATCATACTTTTTCCGACAACTTAGGTTCAAGTTCACGAACGTATTCACTTCACCATGAGCAAGTACTCTTACTCGGGTTCTCTAAAGAATAAGTTCACTCGAATATTCACATTACCTTGACCTTAATCTTAACGGTGATCTTGGCCTTGATCTTGACCTTGGCCTTGGCCTTAATCTTGGCCTTGACCTTGACGTTGACCTTGACCTTGACCTTGACCTCGAGGTTGACCTCGAGGTTGACCTCGAGCTTGACCACGATCTTACCCTCGATCTAACTGTACTCTCAGACGATCCGACGGGCTTGACCATTCTTCCACGTCCCTTACCACGATTATTTACCAATGCCGTCATAACTGCATTAGTATCTTTGACTGATTTAGGCCTAAAATTCTGTTTCATAGTATCACCTGCATCAACAACAGAGAAAATATTTAAGAATAAAATTAAGGCGTTCAGGCATACGAATCAAGGTTTAACATGGAACTGTGGGCCACCATTGTTCTCCCAAAAGTGAGGCTTGACTTTGCTTTAAATGCTTCATCATTTTTACCTTAACTAGAAAACCTGGCAGATAAGTAGGATATTATTTACGAAGTCTCTCACGGATTTTCTGTGTAGTGTAGTTAACTCGGCACACCTCACTTTGGCTGTCCAAGTAACGTAATGAGGACATGTTATGCCGGCGATCTTACTTCAAAGAGTGTTCTATACAGACGATAAAATCCAATTCAAAGTTGGTATAATTTTGGGCCAAAGAAACTCAAGCTAAGCCTAACATGGTCTTTTTTTGGTGGATATCATCCAAAGGTACTTACTAAAACAGTTGATAGCGTTGAAGGTGTGCTATGATTGGCTACTAAAATTCCGAATATCCTATGCTATTCACCTCCAAGCAACTCGCGTGAGATTTACCCCCGAAAACACTGTTATCGTTTCAGGTATAAATAAGTTAAATTTATCTTTTCGTTGTAACGCCAGGTCTCCGCGAACTTCGCTCCCGGAAAACTGTTCACATCTCCGAAAAGGTAATGTCCGCGGAAAAATATCAGAGCATATTTGCGCGCCAAATTGAGGCTATTGTTTAAATATAGAGAGGTTTAGCACCGCGTTTGCGTGAAACGGTAGACGTCAGCTTTCCCTATAACGTTTCACGTAAAATAGCGTGAAACTTACTACTTAGGCTTCACGCAAGCTCACATCATGGTGGATTTGATAGCGCCCTTGCATGACTTACAAGGAATAATTTTGGCGCCCTTTTTTCGGCAATTAACTTCTACTCAAAGTGCAACCGGTAAACGTGAGAAAATGGCGGGAAAAACATGGTCACGTGGTCACTCTTGCGTTCACGTTTCACGTAAACCGGCGCGGTGCTACATCTCTTATGTTCGACAATCGTTGCCGTCTTTTTTATGGGTCCACGCAACCCACCACGTTGCCTCGTCGAAGAGGCACACTAATCCGATCAGGTACTCATACATCACATCATGTGACTTTAACTGGAGGAAAAACTTTTTGAGTTTGCCTCTGTCGAATAAGTATTACTGGAATGGATGANATTGCATAACTTGCACTTATTGCAAAAAGATATACATCGGCGAAACAGGCAGAAGACTAGGTGACCGATTCCGAGAACACCTTCGAGACGTGGAAAGGAATGACAAGGACACATCGAAACCAGTCGCTAGACATTTTAATTTACCTAATCATTCTAAGCAACATATGGCAATCTGCGGTCTTTCCTTGCACTTAGGTGGCACGGAAAGCCGTAAAAATCTTGAACAAAAGCTCATCTTTCAAACCGGCAGTCTAAATCCCACAGGGATCAACGAACGCTTTTCATTCCACTAATTTATTCATGTTTTTCTCGTTGCCATGCTCCCACCAATAACGTAGCTCCATTTTCTGCCTTTAAAAGCACACACAACCCACAATTCCTCTATTCGCTCCGACGAAGGGCTAACGCTCGAAACGTCAGCTTTTGTAATCATTACGGTGGCTAATTTACCATTTCAACTTTGTTGATATATCCAAATTATTTCGTTACTCCCACCGACGCAGCCCCAAACAGTTTCTTTCGAAACTATCAGCCTTTTATCAATTAGACTATAATTTGTTAAGAGTTTTCATGATGAGGAACACGAAAATATGGTGCACTGAAAAGAATTTCTGTTTCAAGCGTCCCACTCTTCCGCCCCAAATACCAGAATAATTGGTTATACGTATAAGAAATAGGTTGTTTCATACCACTTCTTGGCATCCTATGTTCTTGTATTCACAATGAACCCTCGTTACAGGGCAGTCATCACGAATATGAGCTTGCAACTAAAAAAAAAGAAAAAACCAAATGAAAAATATTGAGTCTGAAAAAAGAGACAGGAGAAATCCTGGATCAATGTTACTATAGGTAGTGTCGGTCGACATGGCGGTCGATTGTCGGTCGACAGTCGGTCGATAGTAGGCCGATAGTCGGAAAATAGTCGGTCGATATGTCGACCGATATACGTCGGCCGATAGTCGGTCGACATATCGGTAGACGGTCGGTCGATATTTGACTGACACTTGGCCGATGCTTCACGGATACTTCACTCACACTTAAATGATGCTTCAATGGCATTTTACCTATTGTCGAACTTATGGACGTGTTTTAAGGAAATCTTAACAGGATAAAACTTCTGCTGTTCTTCGGGGCACGGACTAAAACTAGAAACAACGAAACGACTGAAACAACCGAAACTGCTGAAACGAAACGTCCAAAACAAAACCCCCGAAACAAGGGAAACGAAACCATGTCATGCTGTTCTGCTGTTCCCGCTCGGAGTTTTGTTCTCAGCACATTCATTCAAAGGGATTTAGCCTGTGTAGCTGGCGGCATTGTAAGCGCATGCGAAATAAAGTTTTGGTGGCGGAGCCGCCGCGAGGAGAATGGGGAGAGGGACTTTGAAATACCGCCTGCACGAAAACCATAGGTTTTTGAATACTCCGCACACCAGTGGGCGGTAGAAACGGATTGGTCGAGAGAAGTACACTCGTCAATCAAATGTTAGAAGATCCCTCATGTATTTCCCAAGGGACACTTTGAAATTACACATGCATTTTTGAAATGAAATGGGTGGCGCTGAAGTTGTGCTATTAGGCACAATAGCATACTAAGGAACAATATTCGATGATCAAGCCTTGAGGTAAAAACCCATTTTAAACAAACGGATACCTTCCAATATACGCATTTCACTTCTTGTCACTCGCCATTCGTTAAAGCGTAAGTTCTACGAATCTTTAAAACAAACTCCTCAAAGGACCCTTTCGAGGATAACACTTCAAAATTTAAAGAACGTTTGCGGTACAGGGGTTATCTAATCAATATGGTAGCAAAACTACTATCAGAAATCAAATTCACAAAAATGGAGTTTCGTTGAAAATAAAAAAGATCATTCATTTTTTGTAACACCAGTGTCAAACTTGAAAGAAGCTTTACACAGAAAATGGCATTTAATACAAAATTACCACCTTCAGCGCCATTTTTTCTACCAGTGGGCGGTAGAAAGGGATTGGTCGAGAGAAGTACACTCGTCAATCAAATGTTAGAAGATCCCTCATGTATTTCCCAAGGGACACTTTGAAAATTACACATGCATATTTGAAATGAAATGTGTGGCACTGAAGTTGTGCTATTAGGCACAATAGCATACTAAGGAACATTATTAAAAACTAGATCATTGGATAATGCAATTCAAGACTTTTTATTGGCTTAGCCATTATGGTATATGAGCCTATATACCATAATCTACAAATATGGTAAGCGTGCGCGTCGGCTTAAAATCAAAAGGGAGCTAAAAAATCCGGTTTCTTCTCACAAAATAATAATTTCTTGGGGGCGTTTTTAATAAAACAATTATTCCACTCGCGCTTGTTGGATATGAGATGATTATAGCCAACTCGGCGCTACGCGCCTCGTTGGCTATCTATCATCTCATATCCAACGCGCGCTCGTGGAATAATTGTTAATGCACTAGTATCGCAGAGGTCAGTGGTTCGAATCCCGTACAGGCCTGAAATTTTTTTCAGGTCTGATTTTCACTATTGCTCAAATAGTGCTTTACTGCGAAGGATCGTTCTCATATACGTCTCATAACCGCAGTTCACACATATGTTTCATATGTTTGTTGTTGTTTGATTTATCATCTACGGGTTTATATCGAATTAATTTGATGGCCTGCTCCCAGTTGGCTTGTTAGCTCAATTGGTAGAGCGCTGCACTAGTATCGCAGAGGTCAGTGGTTCGAGTCCCGTACAGGCCTGAAATTTTTTTCAGGTCTGATTTTCACTATTGCTCAAATAGTGCTTTACTGCGAAGGATCGTTCTCATATACGTCTCATAACCGCAGTTCACACATATGTTTCATATGTTTGTTGTTGTTTGATTTATCATCTACGGGTTTATATCGAATTAATTTGATGGCCTGCTCCCAGTTGGCTTGTTAGCTCAATTGGTAGAGCGCTGCACTAGTATCGCAGAGGTCAGTGGTTCGAATCCCGTACAGGCCTGAAATTTTTTTCAGGTCTGATTTTCACTATTGCTCAAATAGTGCTTTACTGCGAAGGATCGTTCTCATATACGTCTCATAACCGCAGTTCACACATATGTTTCATATGTTTGTTGTTGTTTGATTTATCATCTACGGGTTTATATCGAATTAATTTGATGGCCTGCTCCCAGTTGGCTTGTTAGCTCAATTGGTAGAGCGCTGCACTAGTATCGCAGAGGTCAGTGGTTCGAATCCCGTACAGGCCTGAAATTTTTTTCAGGTCTGATTTTCACTATTGCTCAAATAGTGCTTTACTGCGAAGGATCGTTCTCATATACGTCTCATAACCGCAGTTCACACATATGTTTCATATGTTTGTTGTTGTTTGATTTATCATCTACGGGTTTATATCGAATTAATTTGATGGCCTGCTCCCAGTTGGCTTGTTAGCTCAATTGGTAGAGCGCTGCACTAGTATCGCAGAGGTCAGTGGTTCGAATCCCGTACAGGCCTGAAATTTTTTTCAGGTCTGATTTTCACTATTGCTCAAATAGTGCTTTACTGCGAAGGATCGTTCTCATATACGTCTCATAACCGCAGTTCACACATATGTTTCATATGTTTGTTGTTGTTTGATTTATCATCTACGGGTTTATATCGAATTAATTTGATGGCCTGCTCCCAGTTGGCTTGTTAGCTCAATTGGTAGAGCGCTGCACTAGTATCGCAGAGGTCAGTGGTTCGAATCCCGTACAGGCCTGAAATTTTTTTCAGGTCTGATTTTCACTATTGCTCAAATAGTGCTTTACTGCGAAGGATCGTTCTCATATACGTCTCATAACCGCAGTTCACACATATGTTTCATATGTTTGTTGTTGTTTGATTTATCATCTACGGGTTTATATCGAATTAATTTGATGGCCTGCTCCCAGTTGGCTTGTTAGCTCAATTGGTAGAGCGCTGCACTAGTATCGCAGAGGTCAGTGGTTCGAATCCCGTACAGGCCTGAAATTTTTTTCAGGTCTGATTTTCACTATTGCTCAAATAGTGCTTTACTGCGAAGGATCGTTCTCATATACGTCTCATAACCGCAGTTCACACATATGTTTCATATGTTTGTTGTTGTTTGATTTATCATCTACGGGTTTATATCGAATTAATTTGATGGCCTGCTCCCAGTTGGCTTGTTAGCTCAATTGGTAGAGCGCTGCACTAGTATCGCAGAGGTCAGTGGTTCGAATCCCGTACAGGCCTGAAATTTTTTTCAGGTCTGATTTTCACTATTGCTCAAATAGTGCTTTACTGCGAAGGATCGTTCTCATATACGTCTCATAACCGCAGTTCACACATATGTTTCATATGTTTGTTGTTGTTTGATTTATCATCTACGGGTTTATATCGAATTAATTTGATGGCCTGCTCCCAGTTGGCTTGTTAGCTCAATTGGTAGAGCGCTGCACTAGTATCGCAGAGGTCAGTGGTTCGAATCCCGTACAGGCCTGAAATTTTTTTCAGGTCTGATTTTCACTATTGCTCAAATAGTGCTTTACTGCGAAGGATCGTTCTCATATACGTCTCATAACCGCAGTTCACACATATGTTTCATATGTTTGTTGTTGTTTGATTTATCATCTACGGGTTTATATCGAATTAATTTGATGGCCTGCTCCCAGTTGGCTTGTTAGCTCAATTGGTAGAGCGCTGCACTAGTATCGCAGAGGTCAGTGGTTCGAATCCCGTACAGGCCTGAAATTTTTTTCAGGTCTGATTTTCACTATTGCTCAAATAGTGCTTTACTGCGAAGGATCGTTCTCATATACGTCTCATAACCGCAGTTCACACATATGTTTCATATGTTTGTTGTTGTTTGATTTATCATCTACGGGTTTATATCGAATTAATTTGATGGCCTGCTCCCAGTTGGCTTGTTAGCTCAATTGGTAGAGCGCTGCACTAGTATCGCAGAGGTCAGTGGTTCGAATCCCGTACAGGCCTGAAATTTTTTTCAGGTCTGATTTTCACTATTGCTCAAATAGTGCTTTACTGCGAAGGATCGTTCTCATATACGTCTCATAACCGCAGTTCACACATATGTTTCATATGTTTGTTGTTGTTTGATTTATCATCTACGGGTTTATATCGAATTAATTTGATGGCCTGCTCCCAGTTGGCTTGTTAGCTCAATTGGTAGAGCGCTGCACTAGTATCGCAGAGGTCAGTGGTTCGAATCCCGTACAGGCCTGAAATTTTTTTCAGGTCTGATTTTCACTATTGCTCAAATAGTGCTTTACTGCGAAGGATCGTCCTCATATACGTCTCATAACCGCAGTTCACACATATGTTTCATATGTTTGTTGTTGTTTAATCCTGTAGTGTTACAAACAGCTTTACTATTGATAATTCGGCTTGTATACATAAACTTTCGACTAAATTAAACCTTCGCCTGTTAGAATCGATTATGACGGTTGAGAATGGTTCGAAACTGTAAAACTTTAACTGTTACCTTTTCCCGTGGAATACCTCTCCGACCACATTTGTTCGTACATAGAACCGGAAACTTTTGGCAGACATTATAATGTTTCTGTAAAAATCGAACAATAGTTATGGAGACGTTCGATCAAAACATGCTATAGCATGAGCCAGGTAATAAGATGCTTTAGTTTATTGTAAATATAATTTTTTTTCAAATGGGTAAAATTGTGACTAATTCTAAAGAGTATTTAAGCAATATCTGGGTATGCTTATTTAGAATAGATGTGTCAACAAACCTGCTTGTTTCTCAAGATGTATGATTCTTTACAAAATTTACAATTAACTTTCCTCCAAGAACAGTTAAATTCCCTGTGACTATTCATGTCTCGCCTGGTGAAACTCTCACCGCATCCTGCATTTGGACACATCATTACCTTGAACAGGCATTCTTGTTTATGGATCTAGAAATTAAAATTCCATAAACAGTTCGTTAAATTTTTTTTTGTAAAGCAACGTGGTTAGGAAAGTTATTCAAGACGATTTCGGGGTCAAACAAAATCATTAAAAGCAGCAGAGTAGAAAGATAGGATTAAGTTTTCTTAATCGGTGGTAAAATACATTTTCAGGATTTGAGAAATGGGACGGATTGGAACGGGGGATATAAAAGCTATACGGAAAAATTACAATTTAAAATTGAACGGTAAGTTAAAGTAGGGTGAAGAAGAAAACGTAGGAAGCTGGTTTTAAGACACACTCTGAACTATTATCTCAAATACCTCTACAGCTCGCAGTTCTCCTGTCCATGGACATCTAGCATGGCTACACTTGATCTTTAATAATAAAATTCTTATAATAATTAATTTAATTATAAATTATAATTATTAATAATAAAATTATTAATTTTAATAATTTTAATAATTTAATAATAAAATTGTTAATTTAATTAAAATAATTAAATTATAAATTATTATTTAAAATTTTTTTATTATTTTATTATCTCAAATACCTCTACAGCTCGCAGTTCTCCTGTCCATGGACATCTAGCATGGCTACACTTGACCTTTAGATCAAGAATTCTGCGGTGACAGGCGGTATCTGAAAAGACCTGTCCATCAAACCAGTTAAATTGTTATTAATGAACTTGAATATATGAAAATCATATACTGTGGAAGACTTAATAAAGGGGGAATGTATTTTCGCTTAGTCACAAAAATTGACAAGTTGGCTTGAATTTATTTTCGAGCAACTCCCTTCCTGTTGTTTTGCAAGATATAAAATGCAGTGATAGCCAATTACAGTATCTTTGTCAGTCATCATTAAAAGCCAGTACAATTTTGTCACTAAGAAGACCATTGTAAAGATCATTATTTTCTTACCTTAGCAGCAACATTCTGTGTTGCCGCTAAGGCCGCATTCTGTGTTGCCGCTAAGGCCGCATTCTGTGTTGCCGCTCAGTGTTAAATACAGTACTTTCTAAAGAAATTTTCACAGTTGGTTGTGTACGTTGAATGTTTACATTATTTTTTCCGTTCGAACCACAACAGAGAGATAAGGCAGTCACGCTGGAATGAATTTTCGCTTATTTTTTCCTCCCGCGAAATAAGCTAAAATAAATTCTACGCTTTTAAAAAGTATTCCACAGTATGTGGCTGCGGTTTCATGAAATGAATGAAAGCGATCCTCTTAGTAATGCACCCTAAGTAGGGTTCATTACTGCAAGGATCGCTTTCAAACATTTAAAGTATGATTGATACGTACTTTCAAGGCTTCCAGAATGTAAAATATGTCTGTTATCCTCGGTTTTTACATTAAGACTCACCGATGACACATCTGCCTTCTG